TCGTCCCGGCAAATTTCACACATTTCTTTAGAATAAGCGCATTACACTTTCAAGCTCGTTGCTGATAAGAGTAGTTTAAGATTCTCATCATTCTTGTATATGTTGGCAAGTATTCCACTGTTTAAATAACTTTTTTCAAATGCTTGAAATTATTTATATTAAATACAGTTTAACAGAGACCGATTATTCAGTTTCATATTCCGTCTTTACTGGATAATATTGCCAACATTGCCTTTGGCTCTTTCAGAAATATTAGCTACGATTAGCAGCAGGACGGTATTGGTCATTAATTTGCTATACGCTATGCCCACCTACAGTATCTTCAGGCTTTACTTAAAGCTTCTGCTGAGGAAAATCAGTCTCGATAAATTTGTCGATTCGTTTTAGTTGGAAATGCGTAGCTACATGTCCATTTATGCTGCAAACTGGTTAATTTCCCTTATTCCACTACCATTGTTACACTCATTTCATGATTACTGTTGATGCGTTTGCTGTCACGTAGACCAACTGATGTGTTTGCTCCCTTCGGCTGAATCGAAAAAGTTCCGGAGTTTTCAAAACATGGGCTAGGTGTAGAGGCGTTTCCTGCTACCGTATGGTTTTCAGATTGCTGTATCATGCTGCTTCCTCTGTTCTTAGTAGGACTGACAATGTGTCAATGCTTTTTGCGTAAAATGCCATGAATATTGCGATTTTTCTATATATACGAGCTAGTTTCATGATATAGTGCTTTTCCATAACAAACTGGAAAAAGATAATTCCTAAAAATTTTATTGTGCCTTTTTGTTTTTGGTGTTCTGTTGTTGCTCTTTAAGGTGTAATTTTGCTTCATTATCAACGAAACTGAAATTTTGAAAAATATCGGGTGTTGCTTGTGGGGTTGTGAGTCCTGACCTGGTGTTAAGCTAGTTTATTTTGAGCCGTGTTGAGGACAGTTTCCAGTGGAAGACCTGGGGATGTGTCAGACTGTCGAAACCTCGTCCCCGAAATTCATGTGGATCGAGACCCATTTGAGCTGCGAAGCTGGAGATTCCCAATCAGAAAAAGCTCTTGCATCAACCTTCGATTTATCTTTGATCTGTCATTGGCTTACCGCTGATCTACTTGTGATCTACCCTTGGTCCACCTTCGAATGCCTTTGATCTACTCTTAATCTGTCTTTGATCCGCTAGTCGTCTGCATTTCATCTGCCCCGTAGTCTGCCAATGTTCTGCGTCTGACCCGCCTTTGGTCCACCGTTGACTCATCCTTGCTGTTTTTTTGATCTACCACTGATTATCTTGTGATATACTTTGATCCCTCTGTGTTCAGCCCCCTGATCCACCACAGGCAAATCTTCGATCTACTTTTAACCCACCTCTAATCTGCACTCGATCTACTTTTGAAATAATGCGCCAGAAAAAATTTGGCAGGACTTTGCGCGCTTACCAAGCCTTCCCGGTGGATAGGTTTCAGTATTTTAACACCTACTTGGACGGGGAACATGATACTATGACTTCAGCCTTCCAGCTTCTCAGATCCCCGAGTTATGAACCTGCGCCGGAAAAAATTTGGCGGGACTTTGCGCACTTACCAAGCTTTCCCGGTGGATAGGTTTCAGTACTTTAACACCTACCTAGACGGGGAACATCATGGTATGATTTTTGCCTTCCAGCCTCTCAGATCCTCGAGTTATGAAGATAGGCCAGAAAAGCTTTGGCAGGCCTTTACGCGCTCACCACG